CTTATTTTTTATATGTTGTTATTATTATGATCACTACTGGATACCATACCTTATGGGCCTATCAAGATTTTTGCACAGAGTGAAACTCATACATTTGTCCCCCACCTCATGTTCCCTTTCATCTGTCTTGCCTCTTCTGTAAACATACTCTGGCATTTTGATGTGCCTGGCTTTGTGGTTCAAGCTGAAAGGAGTCCAAGAGCAGCGTCACAAGATGGTTTCTGCAACAGCAGCCGACTGCAGTTGTCCCACACTTCTCATGTGTAAAGCAGGCAGGCACACAAACACGCAGAGACGCATGAACATAACCAGCATAGCCATAGCCTTCAGAAAGTATTTTCTAATGCAAAGGGATTTTTTTTGAAAGGAATTGTTCTTGTCTTCTGTCAGAATTACTACAGATTGATTACAATACAAAGTTATGTCTTCTGTTATTTGTAAAACAGAAAAAAATGTCAAAGATGAAGCTTCTGCGGTCAAAAAATATCTTGCGTTAACAACTTATTTTACATACAAAACATATGTCACATATGTATCAAATTTGTTGATTAGAAGAAAAGATTCAGCAAACAAGCTTTGCCTGTTCTGTCAAGATCCTCATTGCCTGGATTATAAAACTTCTGTTGTTGAACCGCAGAAGGAAAAAAGCTATAAGCTTCTGAAACCAGCTCTGCAGTGGATTTGGGTCAATAATGCACCATGTAAACTTACGGACTGTATTAGATAGCTGGTTTTGCACTTTCCCTGAAGCAGATCCAATACTTTTAAGAGTAATTAAACTTCATCAGAATTTTCAAAACCAGAATGTGTTAAAACATTGGTGTTCTAGTAAAAAAACCTGAACAGTTACATATTTCACTTGAAAACTAGCATCTGCAATAGTTCTGTTATAGTAACTATGCGGTTTCAATGCTTTATGTTGAGCTATTTTAGTAACAATAATAAGAATTGTTTCTCTTATTTATCTGAAAAATAATTATCTTTATAAAATGGCGTACGGTTTACATTACATTGTTACTTCACAATAAAATCCTTACCAGCTCTGAATATTTCCATTCTGCCTTAAAGAGCACAGTCTCATAATGATACACTTCTTCCTGAAGTCAAACTTAACCACATCCTTACAACAGAGAAGTTTTGTTCTGTTGATCAGCCCTGACTTCCTGGTTACAGGCAACAGGCCTATAGAAGCGTCTTTTTTATTGGCAAACTTGTTTGCTAAACGCATGACACTGTGCCAGTGGTCTTTAGTCACCATGATCACAGCGTAACTCGCATTACAAAACAAGTATCAAGTGCACGTTCAACTCAGTGCTTGAAGACTGGACCACATCGAAACGTTCACAGGTTACATGATTCTGTAAAGTACGAGACATCACAGGGAGGATTTCAAACGGATGAGTTTCGATTGTTTTAAGACTTAAATGTCTTGCTCATCCATAACACTGCTGGAAAAATGGTAAATGGTTGCCCTTGAATCCAGTATTTTGTGCTTAACATCCATAAGGTCTTTCAGAAAGGTACTAAGTTTATTTTAAAGACAGTAGGAGATGGGAAAAAGACCTACTATCCTTGGCAGATCTTTCCCATTGCTCACAAAAGTCCTTGTTTTCTTTGTAAAACCTGTCTTTACCTTTCAGTTCTTATTTTTCTATTACACCTGTCTTTGCATCTTGGTATACCTCATCAGTCTTTAGGGACAGATGCATTCCCTATAAATACCATTACACAGTAAAATTGTATTGTCTGCACCATCCCTGCCCCGTATCACTTCTGCTAGATTCAATTGCGTGGTCTTTAATTCTCTGACTGGGTATTTTCTCCAGCTCTAGGATAATTTGTGCGCGCCTTGCTCTGATGTTTGGGGGTTTTTTTGTTTTTTTGGTTTTTTTTAACTATTATTGTTTTGTTCCCCACCCACAGCGCAGACAGCCCTGAGGGCCTGGCCAGGCTCGCCACCCCGGAGCCCTGTGGCTGGTGGCAGGCCGTGCCCACCGCCCCTGGGCGCCAGCAGACCGCCGGCCTCGCCAAGCCCCGATGTGTGAGCACAGAAGGGATATCTGGCGGGTTTTCATTTTGCATGCCCCTGGAGTTCTCTTGGCAAACTGGAAGTTTGCTTTTAAATTTCTTTCCTTCGAATAATTGCTGAACCAAATCCATTCCGAAAAGTAAATTTCAGTCCATTACTTCAAAAAACAAAAAAAATCACAAAACAACACCACCAACAAAAAAAAACCAAAACCACGAAGAAAAGGGCTGCGAG